GTCCTGACAATGCCACCTATGGGGCGGAGACACGGACTATGTACCCAAATTAAGCCAGGAAATACAATCAATTCCGTCTGAGTAGTCTCCGGAGAATAGTAAACTTGGGATGGCAGCACAGAATACCCAACATGGAGGTGCTGGAACGGACCGGAATCATTGGCATCCACGCCATGCTGAGGCAACTGTAAGTGTGCTAGCGCGGCCACCTCGTGAAGATGGCGATGGTGGATTACCTAAATGAATTTTCTACGTTGATGTCGCTACGAGTGCTAATCGATAACAAAAACAAAAAACGATGCTATAAAGCCACCCTATGAACTTCCCTTAAGGAGCTCCATATCGGTCAGGCGACCTGGGAGGATCTAGAAAAGTGCAGTAAAGATTTCAGCAGCAACATACGAAGCCAGGCGGATCACCGGTGCCAAAACCAACGGGGCGGCCTGCAGGTCGCAAGCACCTCCTATCCGCAGCACAACCACCCAAACCTTCCTATTGTGTCTCCGTTTTCGGCGGATGTTCTGCATGCAGATCGGTCTCGTCGGACATCTGCAAACCAACTAAGGACACCGCAACCACTTGCATCGTCGCAACTGCTATAAACCTCAAGACGACGATGGCCACCACCTCCACCAGCGGTGAGAACTCTCCCGTTACCCCGCCGCCACCGCCACCATCTATCCCAATCATAACTACCACAACCTCCGCGGCGACAGCTACCACTCTTCCTACTCTCACCACCTGTGTGACCATCCTAGACGTCCAGCCAGGTACCAGCGTTACTACCTCCGCCGCCACCACCAGCAATGCGGACTCAGTTCCAACGTGTCCTAATTGCGATCGCACCTCACTCACGGACCTGATCGTTAATTTGCGAATCCGTGCCATTGAGACCGATGAACCAATCCCAGGAGCCCCGTCATGCATCCTACTCACCCGCCAAAACTGCCCACACTGCCCAGGCACATTCACTCACCGTATGGGTCAATTCGGCCCAATTAGCATCCACGACAATGGAGTTTACCGTAATGTCGACATGTAAGACCCACTTTGCACGTCCCACAACCCTCCAACTTCCAGTTCTGCCAACTCTCCCTCCGCCATTGTCGCCGCCACTAGTAGCATCGCCATTACAACCAAGTCAACCATTCCCAACCTACCCTTCCTAGGCTGTCATTGCAGTCGCACATCACGCATCGGCCTGGTCAGTCACTTTCGAATCCATCGCGCTGAGAGTGGCGAACTAGTGTCAGGGGCACCAGTACACACTCGCCTCACTCGGCATAACTGCCTGCGCTGGTCAAGAATATTCAGCTGCCGCATGGGTCTGCCCGACCACATGCCACTCCATGTAAATTTGCGGCAAGCCACTCCAGGCAAAACTCCACCAATGCATACTTTACACCGGAACTCGTCACACCTCGCCCACCACAGGTACCGAATGGGCATGTGGGAGGCGTGTATTTTAGCTCCTTCTCCGTGTGGGCTGTATGGTACTTTAAGGCATATGAGATCCGAGCAGCTCATCCCCTTTGTGTCAAGACCTGGTGTGTTGTCCGGGGGCCAGGTAGCGTGCGGCGATGCTCAGACGAGCTATATCAGCTCTGTCAGCCACTTGCCACCCGTCTCAGCCCCAATCGCCTCAGACAATCGACTGGTGCACGGGACAAGGAAGAGAGAGTGGACTCGATGCTGGGGACGCCATCCCTACGGCATTTCAACGCATTCTTCTCGATCAATAAATCGAACGCGCGTAAACCGTGGCTTGGGACGTTCGCAACTGACGAGATAACTCGGTTCTACTCTTAGGACGGAAAGTCAGATCGAGATGACCCCTTCTTAATGTGACCTCTTTAACACTCTCACTGAGATGGGATCCTATCCGTCTTTCTTATTTCGGTGAAAACCTGGTCTACCGTGAGCGGAACAGGCATGTGTGGCACTCGTAGGTGGGCCGCTTAGCTCTGCTAGCCACTGCGCCTGATCCCACTTCCGATCTTCTTGACTGTCCTGACAATGGGATGAGTGCTGAGGGAGGTTGGAGTGTAGTGGATGCAGCGAAAGTCTATCATCAGTATGGAATGCCGTATGCGACCGTAAGTCTCGTTATAGCTTGTCGCTACTTTCCGAAAATATTTGTACGAAAATCTATGCTTTTTTCTTTAGAATATCATGCTAACAATACAACAACAGTTTTTTGAAAGTGTTAAAATTGTTTGCCATGAAAAAATAGTGAGGTAGTAATTTAGCTCAGTCCCAATGTCCTCCCACCCCTGCACATCGCTGTCAAGTTGGAAATGACCAGGTCAACAGTTCACGGCATTTTCGACCGTTATAAGAATTTCGGCCGCATCGACAGGAAGCCTGCTGATGGAAAAACAAGAAAGTTCGTACTCCTCGTCTTATATAGTCTGTCCCGGATCGTACTCGTTATAATCCATTCAGTAATATAAGGAAGATGACCTTGGAGCTTGAGGTTTCGGAGCACACGGTCAGGAATGTCGTGAAAAGGGCCTGAAGGCTAGGTCAAGGGCTAGGACCAAGAAGCATCTCGTTACTGAGGCTGTGAAAGAAGAGAGACTCGAAAGAAGAGAATCTTAAACCTCCTCAAGAAAGGATCACAGACGGTGTTCTACTCCAATGAAAGACTCCTCACGGTCGATTCGGTGTCCAACAGTCGGACAGATCGCTACATAAGCCTTCTGAAGCACAAAGAGGTACCTGACAATGCTAAATATAAGTTTCAGAGCAAACATCCCGCGTCTGTGATGGTTTTTGGCCTGATTGCCTCAGACGGCAAAGTCATGCTCCCTGTGTTCATCAAGGCGGGGGTCAGAGTGAACACAGACGTGTACCTGAATGTTCATCAGAAGCATGTCATGCCTTCGATAGATTCTATCTATACTCTAGACGGCGATGTGGTCTTTCAGCAAGATGTTGCGGCCGCCCCGCTTAGGTCACGGAAGGCGCAGAAGCGGCTAGAAGACCACATGCCTTATTTCTGGCACAAGGATATGTGGCCACCTTCCTCTAACAAGCCTCATGACAGCATTGAGGCCCTGAAGGTCTCCAGTGCTAGAGAGTGGAACAAGATGTCACCGGAGTACATCAGGAACACGTGCACCACGTTCAGAACAAGAATCGAAGAAGTCATTGCTAACAATGGATCTCCTATTGAATAGTTCCCTACTAATATGAATTTTGAGTCTTTTAGGAAAAAAACATTTTTTTCCCAGTTACTTATTCTTGATATGGGTTAGGCTGTAGGTTAGATCACTCAAATTACGAAATTAACGGTCGCGTAGGGTAATCTGCGCTCAGGTCATATGCCTGCGCCAGCCACGTTGTGAAGCACATGGTAGATATTTTTGGTAACAACGGTCTAATCGCCACCGTATCATGCGTGGTAATTGCCAGCAGCATGTCTGTAAGAAGGCGTCCTCTTACTGGCAAATTCACTCAATGTCCATCCAACCGCATCGAAGAGTTCCGATCGGCTATACATCTGGAAGATGATTCATAGCCCACGACACCCCGTACACCTCGATCGAGGAATTCACCATTCAGCTGACAGTCAGCAACGCTAGCTTGGAGATGGGATCAGGCAGGACTGCTAAAGCCTACGGATTTGATTGCCGCGGGAATTATGCACCGAGAAGTTGCGAGAGCTGCTTCTAATGCAAAATGCTGGTAATAGTCCAGTCACACTGAGAATAATCTGCACAATTTTGGAATTCGTATATAACGCGTCCCCGATGACAATTGTGTTAACAGAAAAAGACATGTGATACTCAACTTTACGTGTCAAAAGGAGAAGACGCCGCAGTAACTATCGCAGTAAGGGTGTCGGCTGGATAAATGCACACCAGCTTAGTAATTTTGAAAGTAAAAATACTCTCCACCGTAAATGACGAGGTCAAATGAGGAAGGTCATTGCTTTGATAGGACCCCGACGGGTCTTTAATAAGAATTATCTAATTATTTCGCAGCGTCCCCAGTAAATCAAGTTTTGATATTTATTGGCTGGATTTCTTTCGATGAAAAAAATGCTAAACGTTTTCAGTATCTTTCCGCTCAGCAAAGCTCAGGAGACAAAAGTAGCAATAATCTAGTCCAGGCCTCAGGAACACTTTACAGATATGGGTTCGAATTCCATTAATTTGCGCATTCCGATGGACAAAGCAGGTAAATCTACTACTTGACAACTCCTCTCAGAAGGAAAGAAAAGATTTCCAACAACAGGAATACCCATAACTCGACCTTCCCACGGCTAGGTGCTCCTCACCGCCCTAGGGGATGTGTGCACTCGTGAGTTGCAAGCGAATTTGCCTATGGTAAAGCACATTAGGATGCCTTTTCCTTTCTTCCCACACTCACCGCTTTCCGATGGCAAGAGTGTTGTTCGTAGGCATAGATGTATAGTGACTGGAAAAACTCAACAGTGTGTGCAGGCGTGCTGTAAACGACCTGATCATTAACTCCACATGTACCGGTCCTGATTCAATGAGGTTTTCCGGTCTCATACATCTTATTTTTTCAGTTGGCCACTCTCCAACGCACGATTGTCAGCGTATCGTGAAAACTCCAGAGGGCATTTGGGGTGTTTATAGTGTGCTACAAGTAGTTGGGTTTGAATGTGGTCGAATTCTTTCTCCCAGTCTTCCCTCTACCGTATACCAGTGGTTTGTCCAACTCACTGACTAGGAATGAGATTGGGCACAGTAACTGGCATGACGTGAAGTCTCCGTGTAACGCGTACATGCACGAGTTAGGAGCTGACTGAAGTGAGACATATCATATAGCCAACTTAAGGAGCCATTGCAGCCTAACGTCACATCCAGAAGAGGATTGCGCTTTCTCGTCGACTGCCAACCTTCCAAGCCATTACTCCTAGTGTGTCAGCTTTATGACCCTGAAGGGGACATCGATTTTTCGTGGAGACGGATTTCCCAAGACCACTCCCATTCTCTCCCCCTTCTCCATATGTTAAAGGTCCGTCCAGCCCTTTCAGCTGTCTGAGAAGGAGATTTAGCGCAGTGGCTGTCGTAATGTACACCTCCAGTTAACGCATGCCACACACATATAAGGTTCACTGCAACATCATCACAGTCGGTTTGGTGAGTCACCGGCGTATACCCACAGGCCCATTCAGTTTCAGTAAGGAGCGGTATATCCGTATGCGGCGCAGAAAGTGTTTGAGTTAGAATAAAGACCTGGAAGCTTCCAGTGTCTCACAATTTATGCCGTTTACCGTAGACCAAGGACGAATTCCAGCGAGGACGAAACACTTTAATTAGAATTATCAAATAAATTATCTGGCCGGCCTGGTGTTCTGACTTCGTGACTTTAACGAGTTGGTAATCAACTGGAGTATGATTCCTGTGTGCGCCACATATCGGCCACTAATAAACGTCTAGTCACGTGGAAAGTTTCAAGTGTTTTTACTCTTTATTTTATGTCTTCTACCAACACTTGGAACGGATGATAATCAGGTAAGCAAACCCCAGGTGATTTTCGTAAAATAATTGTTCACCCTAATCGGCTGAATTAATCTCTAAGTACTTACCCTGATAACACGTGCCCCGTCCAAGGGGCATGTTTATAATCTAATCGATTGACAGTGAGACGCGTTTTGGTCGAAATGTAGCGTGAGTTCGCTATCTATGTAGGCCACCCTGTAGAAATAATGGTGCGAATAAACTACTTCCTGCATTTTTTGAGGACGGGGGTGGCCAACGGTAGGACTTCTAACAGGTGACTTTTAATGCCTCCGAAGAGTATCAGAAGGATCAGAGAGATTTTATTTCTTAGATTCCGACGAGGTTACTCCCAAATTTCTCCAAAAAATGGGTCCAAGAACTTGATAAGCACCCGTAAGTCCTCTTTAAATTCATTCCATACTGGAAATAGCCCCTTAGATTTGACACTTTCGTACATTACGACTTCCATGAAGTCAGTGGTCCGACGGCAAATAAAAAATCACAAAAGCATGTAAAAAACAAAAGGAAGGAGCCGTAAACATCCATGAAAACTGGGAATTGATTACCAGTTCTCAATATGGTTCTCGGTTTGCTGAACCCCGCCAGTCGTTGGAGTTGAGCAATAATCAGAAGACGAGGGCACCGAAAATCCATGAGAAAAATGCCTGCTAATCAAGTAGTCACTTTTTACAGAGTGTAGTTACTGCATGCAGCTGAAAGGAAGTTTGTTTGAAGGCCGGCATCCTGAGGTTACTGAATTATTATAAACGTATGCTGCACAAGAATGAGTTTAACGATCCTACCTAATTAATCTTTTCGAAATGAAAACGTATTTCGGAATTTCGGTTGGCATTTCATGAGTTAGCCCACCTACTGTAGCATCGAGGCGGAGCTCAGAAAAATCCAGGACTTCCTTCGCGAAAACGGGTATCCTGACAGGTTTATTGCAAAGAACATTGCCAAACGACCGATCAAACCGGCAATACTGACCGCCGAAAAGAAAACTTTGTTCCTCAAAGTCCCTTTTCAAGGGGACGCTGCGAGTGAACTCCTAAGGAGACGCCTTGATCAAGCTGTCCCGCGAACCTCCCCAGCGACAAGGGTTCAATTATCATTCTCTACTAACACTATTTTAAGCGGAGAAGGTAAGGATAAGTTGTCACCGCAGACCACCTCAATGTGCACGTATTCCTTCACTTGCTCCTGTAGAGCAGGTTATATTGGTCGCACAAGTTGACGCTTATCCATGAGAATACGGGAACACCTCCCGATATGGCTGGGAAAAGGTGAAACTAGGAGAATAGACAGCGCCATTCTCGCGCATGTTGTCGATTCCGGACATGGCGTGGACCCCAATGAAGCTTTTCGTGTGATTTATGAGGTCCCATCGAGCTACCCTAAGCTAGTAGGCCAGCGCTCGTTAGCGACAGCAGAAGCGGCCGCCATTAGGTTACGAAAGCCAATCTCATGCGCACAGAAGAACCACATTCAGGCTCCGCGCCTACAGCGGTCGAAGGTCGACTAACGCTGCAACTACCCGCCCTCACCGCGGCCCTGACAC